GAGGTGCGCAACAAGCACCCACCTGGCACGTCCGCTTGGACTTCCTTCTGGGCGCTCCTGGTGCGCTCCGACGCCATGGCGAAGGGCTATCCTGGGAAGGATGGCCAGCGCCTCGAGCCTCGAGCAGCGGAGGCTGAGACTCCACAACATGATCGACGCCATGGAAAAAGCCATCACGGAAGCATGCGGCCGTGCTTTCCTCACCCACCTCATCCAGCAGGCGACCTCGAGGCAAGGCGCTATCCCCCACAACGAGTGGAACCTCCTGGCGGCGAGGATCGACGCCCTCACGTATGAGGACGCGAAGGCCCGGCTCCAGAGGTGCAGGGTATGGGCGCAAGCGTCGGTCCGATACGGAGGCAGAGCGGCCCACCGATACGCTCGCCGCAGCCGCTCCGACGCCAATGACATCGAGGACGATGCGGAGGAGTGCCTGCCGGTGAACGGAGCGGACGCCATAGCCAAGCTCGCGAGGGACTGGCTGCCCTTCTGGTGCGTGCATGGGCGGTGTGAAGGAGAAGACCACCCCGCTCGGTGGCGCGTGGCCGAGGACGAGGAGCCCCTCCCCCCGCTGATATTGGAGAATCTCGACCGGGCGTGCCAGAAGTACTCGCCGAGTACGGGCTTGGGGTGGGATGGTGTTCACCCGCGGTGGCTGCTGCAATTGCCAGAGGAGCATCGCCGCCACTTCTTGCGCATCTTGGAGACCTTCGAGAGCAACCCGCAGCTGCTGGAGATGTGGGCCACCAACCTGGTGTTCCTGGACAAGCCAGACGGGGGCGTCTGGCCAATGGGGCTCCTTGCCCTCTTCGGCAAGCTGTGGAGCAGCATGCGGCAGCCATTGTGCCGACAGAGGCAGGATCGGCATCGCGAGGAGTTCTGCTAGGGCGGCGGCCGGACTTAGACTTGCGATGAAGCCGGTTGGAGCCACAACATGCTCTCCGCGCTCGCTCGGCACATGGGTGTCTCGGTCGGCACGGTAATTGTGGACCTGCGCAAGTTCTACAAGAACGTGGACTTCTCGAAGTTGAGCTCCGCTGACGTCCGCCACGGTTTCCCGCTGTGCTTGTTGCGCGGCCTTTGCACCGTCTACGCTGGTGTACGCGATTGGTGTACGGTGGCGCCGTCTCCCAGCTCGTCTGCACCGACGGGGCCATCATAGCGGGATGCTCGGCAGCAATCACGCTCGCGAAGCTCCTGCTCCTGACGCCGCTGCGCCAGGCCACGGTGGCCAGACCATTGGTCGCTGCGAAATTTGTGGTGGACGATGTCCAGTTGCAGTCCGGTGGGCAGTCTGCTCAGGCTGCGGAACAACTGGCGCAAGACTTTGAGAGCCTCTTGGGCTCCTTCCGTGAGTTGTTGCTACTGGTGCACATGGGCAAGTGCAGGTACCTCGCGTCGTCCACAGAGCTGGACGCCGCCTAGCAGGAGCGCTGGACGATGCTGGCCGCGTCCCGGAGACACACTGTCCAGTTCTTGGGCATCGACCTGAAACATGGGGCGCCTCCGCCGCGTGGGGACCGCGAGAGCTAGGGAGGAGGGTGCCAAACGGAGAGGCAGAAGGTACCGACATCTGCGGGAAGCGGGAGCTGACATGCAGATGGTACATCGCGCGGGCGCGACTGCCAAGGCCCTTTGGGGCTCGTCGGTGACAGGCATTGGTAACACGCAGCTTCACGGATTCCGCCTGGCAGCTGCTAAAAGTTGCGGCCAGCTCCCGCGGGGGCCTACGTGGCGCTCCGGCTGCACAGTTATCGCGCTGGCGTGCGGTGCGGCCCGTTCGTCATCGTCGCCGCCAACGCTGTCTTTACTTGGTGCTCGGCGCTATGGGAGTCATTCGCGAAGCAGCGAATCATGGAGGTCGTGATGCAGCTGGCGTTTGAGAAGGCGAGGACTTCAGCGCGCCCATGGCGACAGGCATCTTCTCCTGCAGACGTGGCAATGCTGAGACCGCCGCGGAGGTGATCACCGACCGGGGAGAGCGCCTCCACCTGTTGCGCCTCCCTCCAGTCCAGGTGCTGGCCCTCGCAGTCCAGTCGGCGGTGCGCGCGTCGGATCGCTCTTGAACAAATCGCAGGGCCTTTGGACGGCGCGACTTCAGATGATGCTGCGAGCTGCCGTGGTCAACACGCTCTGGACGCAGGCCAGGCTCAACGCCCACGGGCTCGCCTCCACTTCCACGTGCAGGGCGTGCGGCGGAGCGGGAGGCACCTTGTGGCACCGCTGCTACGACTGCCCCATTCTCGAAGCTCTGAGGCGTGATGGGACGACGCCTGAGCTTCGTGGTTTCGCCCGCTGAGCAAGGGACTGGGACGCGGCAGCAGGAGAGCTGTTTGCGCGAGGGGTCTTCCCTGACCCCGCTCCTCTCTCCATGCAGCCCCGCGAGGAGATGGAAATGCAGTGGATCAGCGAGCTTGCCGACGGTCTACCGAGAAGTGTGCTCTTCTTGGACGGCATCTCCTACCACCTGAAGTACCCGATACTGGCGCGAACGGGCTGGAGCATCGTCCAGGTTGGCAGGTTCGGCAACCTCGAGAGAGCCGCATTTGGCCTTGTGCCTACCGAAGAATGCCCATTTCAAACGTGCCGCGACGAGGAGGACTTCGCCGTCACCACACTGCCGATCTTCGCCATGGCTACGTTCGACCTGTACATCGATTGCAAGGGGACGGTGGGCACGCTGCAGGCGGGCGACGGGGCTGGCACCAGATCTGGCGACGGACGGCCCCACCTAACGGGCCGCTTCTGGGCATCCTTCGTGTCAGCCGACTTCACAGTGTCCAAGACATTAGCCCATGGGACGGGTGCGGACGTTGATGCAAGCCAGACCACTCTTTGGGAGAAGAGGCCGAACGCGCACGCCGATGACTTGGCCAAGCGAGGGGCGCAGCTGCACAAAACGCCCGACGAGGACTTGGACCTCTGGCTCGGCCTCCGGGAGCTGGCCAGAGAAGCGGCACGATGGGCAGCCGAATGCCACGCCTACGCAATCGACAACGGCCTGGTGGACCACGACGACGTCTTCGGGGCCAAGAAGAGCGGCGACGTCAACGGAGCTGGGGCGGACCCAGCTCTTTGGCAGGCGCCCCCTGCCGAGCCAAAGGCGGCGGCGGAAGCAGCTGCAGAACCGCCAGATTGGATTCCCGACAACGCGGAGGGAGAGGGAGGGCATCGCCATGACAAGCGGGTCGGCACTGCGAGGCGGGAGAATGTGAGGGGTCATTCCTCAGTAGGGTGGGCCGATTCGTTGGCGTCTTATCTTCCTGTTGCCTTCAAGTGCGGCGGGCACGCTTCAATTCAAGCGCGGCTTGAACAAAAGCAGGGCCACACTTTAGTTTTCTGCATTTGTTGCGGCGCATTGTTCGGGATCGTGCCCAGGGGAATACATCCAAGAGCGGTGCAAAGGACAGAGGAAAACCCAAGTGCGCAGGAGAGACCTCGGAAACTCTGCAGAGTCACGGCAGGCGCATCAGTCTGGCCCCTCCTCTTGATCGGGAACGACACCTACATCACAATGTTCGGTATGCGACTGGCCCGCGGCAGCCTGAAGCAGATTTGCCCTCTGTGCGAGAGCGCAGGCGGAGCACTCGCCAGCCAATCGAGGGTCGGGGCGACTCGCCGGGCTCTGATTCTGAGCCCTCAAGCGGCTCCGAATCTAGATGGTTTCCGTTCGAGTGCCCTGGGGCCACACGCCCCTGGTTAGACTAGGGACCGCCCCCCTCCACCGCTTCCTGTGCCTTCCTCTGTCGCGCCCCCGTGCCCTCCTCCCCGCCTCCTCCTGGGGGCGGTTCACTGTCTGCCCAGCAGGCTTGGGGCCCTGCTGGGGACCAATGCGGCAGGCTGCTGCGCCTTCAGGCCACTGCTCAAGCTCAAACCTCCCTTCACCGTTCTCCGCTGCCGTCCGCCGCTGCCGCCACCACGGAGCCCAGCCGGCTCCTCCGAGAATCTCTCTGAACCTCCGACCACAGACGACAGGGCTGCGGCAACGGCGATGATGAGAACGACAGATCGCGCGGGAGCACGGACGAGGAGGGATGACGACGAGGAGGGAAGGAGAAGGACGAGGGAGGAACCTCGTCGTCGCCGTCGCCGCCGTCCGCAGCAGCGCATCCCCTCTTGCCAGAGCCCCGTCTGGGGCCTCTGAAACTCTCAAAATTAACGGTCCAATAGCGATATAACATAATACTGTCCGCCATCGGGGTCGCCTGCCCCATGGAGCGCTGGAATCTTCATACACCGAATTACGGCGGCACGGAGATTGCGATCTTGCCAGCCGCCCTTTGTCAGGCGCCCCGGATTGTGGACATGTTTAATTAGTTCACACCTTCCTTCGACTGCTATACAGTGATGGCGACGGCCCCCGACCGCCGTCCGCCGCCGTCGCCGTCAGCCGTCCGCCGCCGCCGGCTTCCGCGGCCCGTAACCGCGGAGCCCCAGGCGGCGGCGACGGCGGCGCCATGCGTCGTCACCGTCTTCGGCCGCCCGCCGATGGAGCCGCTTGGGGGCAATGGGCCTCCGACGGCGGCGTCGGCGGCGACGACGACGCGGAATCCCTCCTGCATGAGCCCTTTTCGGGGCCAGCCAGGCAATCGCATAGCCGCAAGCGAGCGCGCCGCGTCCTGCCAGTCTACAGGCGATCCAGAAACCACGCGACAGCCACGATAATGGGCATGACTGTGTGGATAGGGATCGGGCGGAAGCGCTCGTCTCATTGAAGCGACTGCAGAAGACACTGGCACCTTCACGGGCCCGAAGAGACGCCACATCCACCTCCTTCTCTCCCTCGTCGCTGCCGCCGCCGTCCGCCACGGTCTGCCTCCGCCCGCACTCGGAGCCCCTCCGGCTGGAGCCTCTTCGGGGTCTGAAGGGGGTCTGAAAGGGCCTCGGAGACGACGACGGCGGCGCCGCCGCTGCCGCCGCCGTCCGCTTCCGTCCCCGTCTTCGAGGCTGCCGCTGTCGGTGGTCGAGCGACGGCGACGGCGACGCGCCGCGGACCCCTCCTGCCGGAGCCCCTTCGGGGTTGGGCGCGGGCGCGGGGCGGACGCGGGGCGCATGCGCCGCCCGCGCAGGGGGGCGGGACGGCGCGGCGGCGGCCCCGGCGGGCGCCGCGGGGGACGGTCGCGCGGCGGCCGCACTCGGGCGGCAGTCACGCTATAAAGGGGTGCGATGGACGGAAGGATGGCACGCCAATGTGGAAGAGGGGGGAGGAAGAGGAGGAGGAGGAGAAGGAGGAGGAGGAGGAGGAGGAGGAAAATAAAAATGAGGAGGAGCAAGAGACGGAGAAAGAACCGCGGCCCGCCCGAGCGATTCAGGCGCGCGCTGCAGCCACGTGCGGCAACACCCCGCAGGGCCAGTCGCAACATGAGCTCCGATAGAGAGTGAGAGAGAGAGATCGAGAAACAACAACAACAACAACAACAACAACAACAACAACAACAACAACAACAACAACAACAACAACAACAACAACAACAACAACAATCATTTTACCCGAACGCTCAGTGTTCTCCCCAGTGCCAGGGTTTTCATGCGACGCCAGCCAATACCCCCACTTCGTGGGGGGGCAATGCAAGCTCTACCAAACATCCACACGACTCTCGGGAACCACCCACACCCAGCTTCCCGCCCTATGACGTCAGGACACTTCACTTCGTGGCGCGCGGACGATCGTGGATACTACACTGGCGTGGAGTACACACCCGCAGAGATCACTTGTTTGGGCCCCGCATGTGCCCCGCATCGTGCATTCGTTGCGCATGACATAGAGAGAGCAAGACAGAGAGAGAGAGAGAGAGCAAGACAGAGAGACAGAGAGAGAGAGAGAGAGCAAGACAGAGAGCCAGAGGAGAGAGAGATAGAAAGAGATTCGTCACATGTGTGAGGCAACCTGAGAAGATGTGGTACACGGTACACGTGAGATGGTACGCACTGCCAAGATAGTTGGTCACATTTTTGGGGCAATTTCCTGGGAAGGCGATGAAGCAGAAAGCGAGATAGATGTGTTCATATGATAGATATGAAGCAGAGAAAGAGCGAGAGACATAGAGAAGGAGAGAGAGGAGTCGGTCACATCTTTAGGGCAACTTCCTGAGGGATGTGGGAGGACACAAGAGAGAAGGTATCGTTGTCCCGATGGTTGTCTCGATGGTTGCCCCGATGGTTGTCCTGATGGTTATGGTTGTAGATTTCGGCGTGCGCGCGCGAAGAAAAAACGAATGTGTCCCGCATGGTATTATTTGACAGGGATGATGGCCCTGGCAGGTGCGCAACCGTTGTCGCAGAAGTTTGAAAAAGTTGCTCGCAAAAGCCCGTTTGACAAAATTGTTTAAAAAGTGATGGTTTTCCTACGAATCCGCAAGAGCGCGCGGGATGAGATTTTGAGAATTTTTTATTTAAAAAACCATTGGGTTTTTAATGTTTTTATGTTGAAATCGCTCCGAAACCTAAGGTTTTGGAAGGATTTCGTCTTGCACGCGCGAATGTCCACTTTAGCTTATTTTTTGCAAGGGATTCTTGAAATTGGATTACATTTGAACAAGAAATTTCATTTTATAGTGTTTTTTGCAAGGGAAAGCGGGGGGGAACAAAACAACCGGATCCGGTACTAATCCACTTTTCTGAAGCTTTCGCGAAAAAATAATGAAAATGTAGCTGCGGCCTAGGTTTTGGAGGGGGGTCGTGTACCAGGGGTCCCAACAATAATTATTCTTTAGAAGTAATAATGTTCAACAACAACAACAACAACCATTTTAAGGCTGTACGCTCTTACTTGCCCGCGAGTCATTCAACACGTATACCCTACACCCTCGAAGCCCGCCCTCTTCGTCTTCGATCACACCCCTTTCGGGGGATTATTTCTCTTTGCTGGGGCCGGCGGGCTTAGACGTACGGGCAAACCGGAACGGACGGACAATCCTTCGGGGGCGTACATCTCTCTGCCCGCCATTGGAATTGGCGCGGGCCCTGCAAGAGGAGGAGGGGAAGAACGAGGGAGAGTGGGAGGAAAGGGAGGGGGAAGGACGAAGGAAGAGGGAAGATACCACGTTGTGAAGGCGTCCTTGGCGCGCGCGTGGTTCCTGAGCGCCGAAACGCAAATCCAGAATAATTGGTGAGGACGTCGCACGCGAGAGCGCAGTCCTGAGTACATTGTGAGGAAATCTCGAGCGGGAGCGGGGGCCCTGACTATGTTGCGAGGAAGTCTCAAGCGGGAGCGCCGTTCCTGAGCAAATTGCACGGAAGTCTCAAGCGGGAGCGGGGGTCCTCACTAAATTGCGAGGAGGTCTCAGGCGGGAGCGCCGTTCCTGAGTCAATTGCGCGGAAATGTCAGGCAGGAGCGGGGGTCCTGAGTAAAATTCGAAGAAGTCTCAGGCGGGAGCGCCGTTCCCACGTAAATTGCACGGAAGTCTAAGGCGGGAGCGGGGGTCTTGATTACATTGCGAGGAAGTCTCTGACGGGAGCGCCTTTCCTGAGTAAATTGCGCGGAAGTCTCAGGCGGGAGCGGGGGTCCTGAGTAAAAATCGAGGAAGTCTCAGGCGGGAGCCGTTGTTGTTGTAGCCCGGGGGGCAGGGGCACAGTTTGAGCAGGAATACTTTCCTTGAGAAAAAAACAAGGTGCGAGCCCCGGGGGTGGCACTTCAATCGAAAAAATCAATGTGCACCGGTGGGGGGGGATCAACACTAATTATTCTTCAAGAATGAGAGTTCAACAACGACAACAACAACAACAGCAATCATTTTACCCGAACGCGTGGTGTTCTCCCCAGTGCCAGGGTTTTCATACGACACCAGGCAATACCCCCACTTCGTGGGGGGGCATTACAAGCTCTACCAAATATCCAAACGACTCTTCGCGACCACCCAAACCCAGCTTCCCGCCCTATGACGTTGGGACACTTCACTTCGTGGCGTGCGGACGACCGTGGCTACTACACTGGCGCGGGGTACACACCCACAGAACCCAATGGTTTTTGGAGATTTCGGCGTGCGCGCGCGAAGAAAAAACGAATGTGTCCCGCATGGTATTATTTGACAGGGATGATGGCCCTGGCAGGTGCGCAACCGTTGTCGCAGAAGTTCGAAAAAGTTGCTCGCAAAAGCCCGTTTGACAGAAATGTTTAAAAAGTGTTGGGTTTCCTACGAATCCGCAAGAGCGCGCGGGATGAGATTTTGACATTTTTTTGTTGAAAAACCATTGGTTTTTTGATGTTTTTATGTTAAAATCGCTCCGAACACTAAGCTTTTGGAAGGATTTCGTCTTGCGCGCGCGAATGTCCACTTTACCTTATTTTTTGCAAGGGATTCTTGAAATTTGATTATATTTGAACAAGAAATTTCATTTTATAGTGTTTTTTGCAAGGGAAAGCGGGGGGGAACAAAACAACCGGATCTGGATGACATCGTTTTACCTGAGGCTTCCTCACGAAAATGATGAAAACGTGGCTGCGGCCTAGGCGCGGCGGGGGGGGCGTGCACCAGGGGGCCCAACAATAATTATTCTTTAGAAGTAATAATATCCAACAACAACAACAAGAACAACAACACCAACACCAACAACAACAACAACAACACCAACACAACACTAACAACAACAATAACCACAACAGCAGCAGCAGCAACATCAGCAACAACAACAACAACCACACCAACAACAGCAAATGCTGACCGTGTGCTGCCGCCAGCTTGGTGGCGATCTTGCGACGGTGTTCATAGATCCTGGTTTCTCAACTGGTGTCACACACGACTTTTAGACACAAGGCGGACCGCTAAATACAGTAGGCATGACGCTTGTACTTGAGCGACCCTACACCAGCGAGTCAACAAAACGGCGTGAAAGAGATCGAACAACTCATATACCTCGTCGCAGTATGCCACACAGTTCTTAGGACATTCTCCTACACTGGCGGACAAGGTTTGCACACAGTTGATCAGACTGTGCATGCAAGTTCCCAGCCGAGAGCTTTGCATATCATCCTGCTGCCGCCTGACCACGCTCTGCCGCGCTGTCTTCGCTCACCAAAAGGACGGCCTCCCCTGCCATGGGCGGCGGAACCAGAATTCGACAGCGAAGTCGCAGTATAAGGCAATGCGTGTTTCAATGGTGTACTGTTTGAAACGATGTCCCCCAAGCAAACATGCAATAACACACAATCTGATTCCCAACCGCCCCATCCGCAGTCGCAAGGTACAGCCACCAACACATGTGCGAGTCTCGACGCTGGTAAAGGAACCAAGCTCAAAGGCACAAGCTTCGACGACGCATCCAATGTTTCGGAGGATGCGGACCCGAGCGTCCAATCGGACACCCCTGGATACTTTGAAGCGCGAACTTCTGCTTTCGCTTCGAAATGATTCATTTTTTGAGGGAGGCAGTGGTGAATCCCACTACGTAGCCCTTTGGGCGCAGGTGGTCTAGAGCGTTTCCTTGTCCAGCCTCCTTCATGTCCTTGCTCGGGAGGTTTAGGTACCTCCCCCCTCCCTGGGTCTGGACGGGCTCCCCCGCGAAGGGTTAGAGCGTCCAAGATGGCCCAATATAGCTTCAAGAGGGCATTAGCTAGCCCAAGATGGCCTCCAAGATCGCCCAAGATACCTCACCACGGCTAACGACAGCCTCCAACACGCATCCAAGAGGCCTCAAACGGCCCCAAGACGGTTTCAAATGCCCTACGAGCCCTCCAAGAACCCCCCCCAGAGGACAAGATGGGTTCAAAACCTAGGGGATCTTTTTTTTGCCTTTCGCTTGTTCGCTTCCGATGGGCTCTTAAGGCGTCAAGATGGCCCCAAGACTTCCCAACATAGCCCCAAAAGAGGCCCAAGAAAGCCCAAAGACGGCCCCAAGAGCGCCCAAAAGCGCCCCAAAAGCGGTCCAAGAGGGCCCCAAGAGGCCCCTTATGGGCCTTCGAAGGGGGGCGTAAATTTAGGACACCCCTCTTGCTGAGCGAAGGTGCGAACACGGACCCCTGAGGGCCCCTCTAGAGACCCCTCCCCAGCTTGAGCCCTTGCGGGCCCGTCTGTTGCCGTAGCCACTGTTATGGTTCGATAGGCCCCTTTCTGCGCGGACGCCCGGGCGCCCTCAGCCGCTATCAGCAGGAGGCAAGATAGAGCATCATC